ATATGTACGAGTATATGTACAACTATGGTGGAGTGGATGCGGTTCACGTGGCATATCGCGTATGCCAGATGCCAGTTTTCCGGAGACGAAATGGAACGTGTGTGCCCAAGGAGACGCTACTGGCAAGCAAACTTTACCTCGGTCTCTCACATCCTCTCTCTTAGCCAAAAATAAGAAAATCAAAACTAACGGCCTCGACTTTTAGGTACCTAGTTGATAATTGTCAAATGTGCAACGGAGAGACAAACCTTTTGAAATATCTGCTTTGGAGGCTTAATTAGAGTTCTCGCGCTACTAGTTACGCACTTCTCGCTCCTCGTTACTCATTGCTGAAGCTACACTCTACTCTCTGATTGATACAAGACTCCAATACCTTTAGGAGAAGTAAAAAATTACAATTTGTAGATAGACTATGAAAAACCCTACATATGTACCAGTACAACCTTTGATGGCAAGCAAAACCAGCTAAAGAATCACAGGGCAGGTCAGTGCAGACGAAAAAATGAGATTGGGAATGGGAATTGGGATGAGTATGAAGTTTGAGAATAGAGTCCATTGCGCAGGTTAATCAAACACATACCGGCAATCATTCCTATTGCTGATTGTCTGCTGTGCTGTGCTGCTGCTCGGGGTATAAATCTGCGTACGAGTCTCGAAGGATAAACCTCTGTCTCCAGTCTCTGGTTCTGGTGCTGGTTCCGGGTCTGACGCTGACGCTGACGTTGCGACTGAGGCAGGCAAAAGAGTCGAGTCGCTAACCCAGTCGCTCGAGTCGGTCTGTCATTCTGTCGCTCACTTTGGCCAGTCATTCAAGCTGAGCTCAGGAGCTGAGGAGCTGCCGCAGTTTCTGTTGCTGTTGCATGATGATAATGCAGCATGACAATGCTAGGCCCATTCCACTGCCTCATCTCTCTCTCTCTCCTCCCATGTATTGGCAACAATAAAACACTGTGAATGACAGACAGAGGAGTTCACAAGTTCAAATGCAGACTTGGCTTAGACAACAGTCCAGCCAACAGACAGTCCAAGTGCTACGAGTGTCCAATACGAGAAAGGATGCACTGAAGGAAAATAAAAGCCAACTACCTTTGAAAATTATTTAATTTTGCATAGTAGAATTGAGAGTAAGTAAGGGATTTTGCTGTGGTTGTTCCTCAACTTCTTGGTAGTTGATTCGGCTGCATATGGACTTGAGACTTGCGACTGTGCGACATCATACTTATTATAATCGTAAAATATAATTAGCTGATTATCACTTCTGCATAACATTTTGTCTATAATTTAGGTTCGTAGGTTCTAGCGTCTCTACTCATGTTTATTCTTTTCAGTGTATGAAAAAGGGTTCGAATGACTACCAGTACGGGTACGGGTACGTGGGCCAAATTGCACTGCCATTTACAGCAGAGGCCCAAGCAGCAACAACAACTGCAGCAGCAGCAGCAGCAGCAGCAGCAGAATACTTCTTTTCAAAAGCCCCATCCTTGTCCCCACCCACCTCTCCCCAGTACGCTTCATTCGCACAAAATGCTGCGTATAAAATGCGCATAAATAAAACGGTTGGTAGCCCACAGCCGAGCGGCAACAAAAAAAAACAAAACAGCAAGAAGAGATGAAAAAGAAGCAACAAAATCGAAGAGAAATATAGGAGAAACAAAAAAGAGTCTTCAAGAATTTACAGCCAAACACATGAGGAGGCCACGAATGCCCTAACCACATCGTGAGAAGCTAATGTCGAAGTGCGCACCAAACTAAGAAGAGAGAGCCGCCCCCCCCCAGAGCTCTCTCTCACTCTCTCGAAGCGCATACAGAACGGGGTAATGGTGGGCGTTTTCAAGTCTGCCTAGTGGGATGTGCATGTGTGCATACTTGGAGCAGATTCAAATGTACTTTCCCCGCTGTAAAGGGTATCGCGAAACGAGAACGAGGCTTAAGCCTAAACGGTACTTTTTCAAAATACTCTCAAGGCAGAAGACGACGATGGAGCTACAACAACAATAAGAACAACACAGCAGAAAAGAAATGAGAAACGAACGGATAAAAAAATGCCTTCCAAGCGCTGCGCATGCGTGGAGCGGAGCTTAAATGCTTTTGGCATACGTCAAGTGCCAGGCGAGCGTTGCCGTTGCCATCTCCTTCTCTCTGTCTTTGTCTGTCTGTTCCTGTCTGTCTCCGCTATACCTGTCCCTGTCTCCTGTCCGTGGCCGTGTCCATGTCCGCGTCGGCGTCCGTGTCTGGGATGTGGCCCGTGAGCTGAAGTGACGTCTCGTTTTCGTTGTTGGCTGTTTCTGCTTCTGCTTCTGCTTATGCTGCAGTCCCTAACCCTTTCCCTCTCTCAGCTTCTTGTCCTCTTGCCACAAAATGTCATTCGTTGCGCCCGTTGCACGCATTCCTGCAGCTATACCGCCACCGCCACCGCCGCACCTTCCCAATCCTGGGGGCTTGTATCCTCAAGCCCATTGCCATTGGCATTCGCATTTTTCGTTGCGTTTCGTTTTCTGGATCTCTTTTTATTTTTTCTTTGTGCCGTCGGCTGCTGCTGCTGCTGCTGCTGCTGCTGGCATTCGGTTTCAATTAGAAATTCATGATTCCGTGTGCCCCATGTGCCCGTAACGGGCTCTGATGAGGCAACCCTGATGCTTTATTTTCCGAAGGGGGCATTAGGGCCTTTTTGCCCACAAATCGAAATCGCACCTACCACCTGATTGATATTTTGGGGGGGAGTGGTCCAATTGAAATTTACAAGTATCTCTGGCTGCCACGACTGTAGGACTGTACCTCCACGTTGACATCATTATAAAGTTTAATTTCGTGTCCGTTAGGATGCGTTCCCTGTGCTGTGGTCTCTCGGGGCATTCTATCTGTGGGGTTTGTTCGTGTTCAGGGAGGATATCCATATAAACATTCGATAAGAGAAAACCCATGGGAACCATACGATCTAAATTTTCCCTTGGGGCAATCTTTCACCTCAACTTTAAATTAATTTCTAGAATATTTAATGCTCCTGGAATCCAACAGGAAGCAGACTTAAGCCAAAATTTAAGAAAAACCCAAAGCAAATGTCCTTCTATTCTCTGTTTCTTTTGAAGGATTGATTCTAGGATCTCCACTCCCTCTTTTTGTTTGCAATTAATATCTAAATGGCAAAATGTGATACATCCTGCTGCCTGCCAACAAGCTACCACCAAAACCGATTCTATGTCTGCCTGCTACTGCAGCACTTGCATCATTCTGTTGCATGTGGCAAATTGCATTTAATTAACACACACACACACACACACACACGCACACAGACAGACAGACAGACTCTTTGGCCTGTCAACGGACGCCATCAGCCATTATCATTGGCATTCAGATTCTCATCAGCGTTTTGCATTTGAAATGAAGTCATTACAATGACGAGGCCGCTCTCCACTCTCCACTCTCCATCCACACTCTCTCCTCTCACTTGATGAGCGACATAGTCGACGAGACGACGACAAGGCATTCCATTCGTAAAATAATGCTGATAATTTCATTAAACAAAACACTGACAGTCCCTCAATCCAGCTATTTCCATTGCAGTCCGCGTCTTAATTCTCATTTAATTCTTCAATTTTTATGCAAGACAACAAAAAATTATAGCGACATGGACGTTGACCATGCAAAACTCAAAGATTTATATTCCCCACTAAAAATCCTTGCAAACAATTACCAGAAATACAAAAACATTATACAAATATAAATAAATAGATATTTATCTGCGAGTAACTCTTAATATACAGTAAGAGTAGATTTTACCACTTATTTTTGAGGCGTTTGCTCCGCTCGTGGAGGGTATCCCTCTAGTGGTAATCAGAATCAGCAACTGAATCTGCATCTCCATCATATCTGTATCTGTATCTGTGGAAGTATCTGCATCTGCATCTGTGGTGTCTGTACTCATTTAATGCTGATGAAGTGGAAATGAGATCTGACTTGCAGCTCCTTTTACTGTTACACCCGGCCCCCTTTGGCCAACCCATTCCCAATCCCTTGTTAATTTGTCGCGCATTTTTTATGGCGGAAATTGTTGATTAATTTTGTGCCTTTTTTCTCTCTTAGGATGATTAGGAGGCTTCTCGTTAGAGTGCCTCCACCATGTTGTTCCTTGGCATTAAGTTTATGGCTAGAAGAACAGTAGAACATGCGCATAAAAACCCGGAGGAAAACCAATTTAAATTGTACAAATTGATAATTATTCCATGATTGTGGAAGAGGGAGAACGTGAATCTGAGATTGGCCAATGAGAGACGTGTGTCCCCTGAAAAGCCATGCCCAAGAGGGACTTAGTGCTGCCGCAATAAAAAGTCCCATTGAAGTCAACTCTAGTGCAAAAGTCAATGAAACTTTTATTACCAACATGCCACACGCACCCAACCAACAGTGCAGAGTGCAACAAACGACTTTTGTTCCAGGCAAACGTTGCGTAAAGAAAAAAAAGAAAAAAGCAGCCTCAGTGCGACCCCCAATCCCCACTCCACGTTGAATGTCAACTCGGAAAACTCGGGAATAAGGCACTTTTGCGATTAAGCCAAGGGGCCCACAAAGAGGCCTACATCTACACCCAAAGGCACCTCCAACGAGCCTTTTGCCTTTTGCTCGCATTTATTGAACTGTGGAAGGAAGAGCGAAAAGAAAGACATTTCCGGAGCGCAGCAGCGACATGGGGCATGGAATAGGCCATAGAATATTTAGGATTCAATTTATATTGAAGGATGAATGCTTCAGATGACAGTTCTTCATCTTCAATATTTAATATATCTACACCAAGAACTTTCAGCCTCTTACTCAGCCACCCGCTGATGGATTAATTTATTTAATTTAATTTTACGACAAATGCAATAAGAATATCTTCAGTTTTGGTGTACTCTCCACTCTCGACTGTCCACTCCATTAGTTTGCAATAAAAACCCTTGAGTTTATACGACAATTCGTTAGTCCACACAAAATGGCACATAAAAGGACGGAGCTATAAAACTTACCAGAAATTAATAAATTTTGTCTCCCGTTGGGAGTTGGAGTCGAAGTTTTGCGTTAGAATCCTCGCAGCACACAGCTGGATGGGTGGCAGGTGGTTCGTTCAACTCGTTCTTTGGCTCCTGGTCCACTTCCAAGGGATTGGCAATGTCAATGGCACAAAATATATAATTTAATTGCGTAATTAAGCGCCGACTATGACTCCGACTTTCAATATAGTTCCGAGCTCAAATCGATTGCTTCAGACTGCACATCCTCTCGGGGATATAACCCGGGGGCTGCCATGGGTAGTACGCGTTAGTGGTTGCTTCTGTCTCTCTCTCTCTCTCTTTTAGCGTTTGTTGTTGTTTTTGTTGTCTCAGTCTCCCTCTCTCTGTATTTTGTTTAGCTTTTTGTCGCACTGCATTTTGTTTTGCTTCTGTTTTGAAATTATTTCTATGTTTTAAATGAGCTTTAAATACGAATTTTGGTTTTAATTGGCTACCCTTGCAGATGGAAAAACCTGGTTTTTAAGAGAATTAGTGATAATTCAGTTAAGATATTAGTAAATGATTTATTGGGGATTCAATTTGAAACAGAAATATTGCCTTTTATAACTGCAAAAAGGTGTTGCTTTATTTTGAAATATTTGTTTTAATTTAGGGGCTAGGCACAGACAACTCTGTTGGTTTAGAAAAGTTTCTATTGTGTGAAATAAACTTAAGCAAATCAAATTAAAGAGGGGAAAACTATCAAACATCTAAAATGTATTCCATATCGATCTGCAAAGGTTTTAACAGCTTACGGTTTTCTTGTTTTTTTTATTGTTAAATATTTTTAAATATTTTAAGAAATGGTTCACATATTTGTTGTTTATTATTTGCTGTAAAGAAAGGAAGGAACACCGAAATTAATTTACATATTGAGGGTTAAATAACAAAAATATTGTGACCATAAATAGAGAGATGCAAAAATGATGATCAAGGGTATCCAAAGCTTCGACCAGAGCGAAGAGCATGGAAATGCCAATTGATTTGTGGAGTCTGCGAATGGGCGAGATGGGGCCGATATGAGGGCAGGGAGTGGGGATGCACCGCGAAACACTTAAAGGCCACTTAAGAGCCATGGACATCTAACCCCTTCCCCACTGCACCGACTTTGCACTGCCTTTTGCTTTTAACTTTTATCAACATTGTAATTTCAGCTTGCTCCTTGCATCTGGGCTCTTTCTCTCTCTCTCTCTCTCTCTCATATCATATTCTCCAGGCTAGAAAGCAGAAGAAGGAAGAAGTCTGTGCGGAATAAGCCTTACTTAGACTTAGGGATACCCTTTCAGGTGATCCTTGGTCTAATATCTTTGAAGAATTTAACAGAGAGAGAGAGACTAATCGGAATCACATGGGATTTGAAGGATATTTGAAGCCCAATCCGCATTCGCTGGTCCTCCGTTGGTTTTTGCTGCCTTTGAAGTTGCTTCCATATGCCCTTCCAAACAACGATGCTAACTGTGGAATCGCACAGAGTGAAAGAATATCAGTGGCTTGCGATTGAGTGTGGGTGGAACGTAACGCAATGGAAAGGGAACGGAACGGAATAGGGAGGAAGAGAAGCTTGCTCGTAAGATGAAATAAAAAGCGGCAGAAAATAACGATGTTGAAATCACTTAGCTTACAAAATGCAATAATATGTACAGCTCTTCCTGCTCTTGCTCCACTGCACACTCCGCTGTCTATGGCCACACTCCCGACAGTGCCGACAGTGCAACATTAGTAGCGTTTACAGAGTCTTTTGTTGCTGTGTTGCCTTGCTAGTTCTTCCACACTGCCACTGCCACTGCCACTGCCACTGCCACTGCCGCAGCCACTTCCTCTTCGTCTTGTGCCTCCCGTACGCCCCGTGCAGCTTGCTTTATCTGGGTCTTTTGGTATGAAAAAAGCCAAAGGGCATGTGTACAAGATATGCAAAATACGGGGTAAAGGCAGGGAGAGCGTAGCTACTACATGAGGACACAAAGAGAGAGAGAGAGAGAGAGAGCGCTACAGAGTGTGAGAGCGGGCGGGGGAGCGCAAGCTTTCGAATTGGGAGGGAGAGCAAATTGAAAGCCAAAGCGGATTGCCATTACTTAGAGGCGCGTTGCAAGCGCTTCATTGAGCGGGAATTTCGAGTGGTGGTGTGAACGATGTGGGGGGGAAGGGCAGGGTAATAGGCAATTCGAGCAACAAATAAAAAAAAGAAGAATTGAAAGACGAGGCTTCATGGTGAACTGTAACACCATTCGGGGGATACCCTGCTAGTTGCCAAAAACATTTTTAGAAAGAAGACAATAGGATCTTTCGGCATTAAATATGACATGGGCTTGGATTCCTTTATAATAAATTAACGAGAATTCAAGCTACAAATGTGCAAGTCTACAATTTGGGACTGCATTCATTTTCTACGAAGCATCACAACAAATACCCTCCGCATGATCTGTGCTTCTCAAACGTAGAGCAGATTCCAAGTCCATGTCTTGTGTTGCAGTGTCATAGCAAGATGCCCCCCTCCTGCTCCTGTACATGGACCCCCCCAAATGTCTACTAGACTTCCACGAACTTTCCGTTGTGCAAAAAGTCAAATGCGCTTATAACACTACAAAATACAAAAGCCGCAGAGTCTCGCATTCGCTTGTTGCAAGTTCGAAGTTGCAGCCAGCCAGGCAGTGGCAGTGGACAGGGACAGGCTGCAAGCGGCAGTCGGCACTGGGGAACTGAGACTGGGGCTCAGGTTTTGGGGTTAGAGTTGGCCAGGCAATGACAGCAATGGCGACAGTTGCACTGCAGCGGCACAGGCGGCGGAGGGACAGAGACAGAGACAGAGACAGCGACAGCGACAGACATGGCTTACAATTGCAAGGCGACTAATTGGTTTACTTATGGCCTTTATTCCGCTGACTCCGCGTGCCCCTGCTCCGATGCCGCTGCCGTTGCAGCCACCGCTCGCCGCATGCAACACTTTTTGAGCTCCCATAATTGTGCGACGGGGGAACACCTTCAAGGTGCTGCCTGCGACTCAATTTGCCGGTCGCAGCGATTCTCTTTTTTTTCTTCTCTTTTTTGGCTACACACACACACACACACACACACACACACACAGACACACACAGAGCCAGGATAGTTAACAATCAATTATGGTGCGGTCTGGTATGCCGTCTGGGGTGTGGTGCCACAGGGGGGTCAGTTTTTTGGGAATAGAAGATAATATCCATCAATGAGGATTATATATTTGGGTATTCAAGAACCCATAAACAATGTGTGAAAATTTTAACAAAAATAATGAGAACATTAATGCAGCATTTAGAGGGTATCCCCCGCTTCGTAACCGATTAATGCTGCCCCTCAATTATTATCCCACGAAACTTGTGGCATTCTATGCCGATTGAGAGAGAGTTTTCGGGGTCCCTTGAGTCGCTGTTTGTTTAGACTTTCGGGGCGGGGGGTTTCGCCGTTAAGCGATTGCCTTTTGCCTTTCAGCTGGACGAGGCCGCTGATGAAATTCCTGATTCCTGTCACTGCCACAAGCAGGCAGCAACAACAAATGATTACTTATTTAAAAACTCCATTAGAACCCGTTCATTTACAAGAGGGAGGACCAACGACGATGGCGACGACGACGACGAAGACGACGACGACGTCCATGGCCAAGAAGGATGGGGAAGATCAGGCTAAGGAAAGGGTTATAGGACCATACAGTGCGTCTCCATAACTGCAAGAGAGCTTAGGCAATGAAATTGACATTTATGGCCAAAGTTTTTGAGTTTAGCGAGTGGCGGCGTTGGCGAGTGGAGTTTACAGCGAGTAAAAATTGGTTTTCCTCGTTTGAAAGCCAATCCGCTGCTGCATTTCCACAGAGTATAAATTTGTGGCACTCAAAGTTGTGCCTGTACTTATAGTTTCGTTATGCACTGTATGCAACGTTGAGGCTAACTCATTTCTCATTTTCCCATTAACTTGGGCAAATACTATGTCATCATCAAACAAGCCCAAAGACCAAACGCCGGACGATGCCTGTTGGACGGGCTGGCGCGCACAGGGGGCTGGGAGGGGGATGGAGCTAAAGGGCCGTTGCCATTGCCAAAGAGCTGCCAGGAAGCAGCTTCAAACTCAATTTAGTTAAATTTTCTTTCCCATATAACTCGTAGATTTTTGTTGTGTTTTTGGCAAAATTAATTTTCGTTTTGGGGCCATGAAGCTGAAGCGACTTCATGCCCAGGCAATTAGCTGGCAGAGAGAGAGCCACAGGAGGATTCACTCAAATCAAAGACCGAAAGTATCGTAACTATCATACGATTCGATGGTATATACGATATAGAGTCAGAGGAGAGAGAAAGCGAGGGGAAAATGCTGTCGGATATGAATTGGGATACGTGCAAATGCAGTGGAGATGATGTGGGTGTATCGATATCCAATTGATGCCCTGTATTTTAAAGAATTCAAAGAGCTTTTCTTATCCGTATTTATGGTTACAATTTTGAAGGCGATTAACAAACTGTCTTCTCGGTTCTATCAATACTCGTTAACAGCTCTACTCGATGTCATATCTTCTCGCTATTAGTTCTACTCGGCATCAGCTCTCATTGCCTGGTATTTATTGAAGACTAAAGCCCTAAGTACCTTGCCTTGTCAAAATCTGTATGGAGTAGAGGGCATCCTTTAGTCGAACTATGTGCGCATTTATGGGTGCTCCAGCGTCTGGAAGCAGCGTTTTCTTCTTCAGCATTTTCTATTTGGTGATTTGGTGGGCAGCAGGACAGCAGCGGCAGCAGCAGCAGCAGCAGCAGCACAAGGGGCTCTGGAGGCTTGTTGGTGGGAAGGGAGGCCAAACAGCTTTAGACACTTTAACACATTCCACTGGGAATGAATACCCACACACATACACACACACGTACACACATATGTATCAAAAGCTAGAAGAAGATACACAGACACAGACAGACACTTTGGGGAGACTTCAGCATCGACATTGACTCCGTCTTGGACTCCGTCTTGGACTCGGACTTGGATGGGGACTTGGACTGCGACTGCGACTGCGACTGGGATAAAAAGGTTGAACAGCCAAGAGAGAAACATTTAGACGACTTTCCAAGACCGGTTTTTTGGCTCTATGAACTCGCTCCACGCCCCGT